GTGGGACCTGGTGCCCGTGAGAGGGAACAGGGGGAGCTGGGGTATGTCAGGGGGGGACTTGTTCTTTTTTGAATATTTCAAGCTGTTGTTAGACTTTGAGAACAGGTTTTCCCAGGCTGCCACTGAGGATCAAACTCTGCTCCATTCCAGGGTCTAACATGCATTCCCTGTGCTTGCTCACCAGTTTGCCTTTTACGCCACAAAGATTCCGCTTGTAATACGAGAAGGCTGCATAACTCTGACTTAGCCTTTGCCAATGGACCTCAGTGCCATTACTGGGGTGGGATGCTCACCCCCTCTGTCCTGCCCTGATGTCCTGGGCTGTATCCTTGACTGACCTGCTGGGAAGCTGGAGCTGGCCTGGAGCCACCATGGTGGCCTTATGTGACTTAAGAGGAGGGAAGCTGTCCTAGGGAAAGTCACTCATGTTAGATAACTCTGCTTTGGTTTATTGGTTGGGGGTTTTTTTTGGTTGTTTTTTGGGGTTTGTTTGTTTGTTTTTTCCAGCAGCACAGCACACTTGTGGAGAGATCCCACAGACCTTTTAATACAACAGACTGATATATTACTTTGTACAGACTCGATAAGGGTGGGCAGCAGTAGGTGAGGAGAGGATTTCAAACTCATTGTCACTAGAAATATGTGTAGAGTATGTAGGTGCCTTCTGGAAGCAACAGGAAACCTGCTCTCATGGTGCTTTCTGGCATCATCTTTTCTGATGATAAACTTGGGGAGTTCTCATGTGCATTAACTTTCCTTAGAGCTCACCCTGGAAAGCACCTTCTTAAAGGTGCTTTGCATGTCAGCTCAACTGGCTGGCTGGCCTCTTACCAGACCAGTGAGCTACCAGGAAGGGCTGGGTCCATCTATCCAGCCATGGTGATGACTTCTCCAGAGAAGTAATCTTCTGTGGAGATGTCCAGGTGCTGCAGCACTGTGGCGAGGATGGTGCAGAATTGCAAACTGACGTTTTAGCACCTCTGTTCTGCAATGCCAGCTACCCCGGCTCTGAAAAACCCTGTCTTCTCAAGGGTCTCTCTTAAATTAACTTCAAGAAATTGCTGTACTTAGTGAATGTGATCTAGGGGTAATTGTCCAAGCTTAGTGTTAAACCTCTTCTGCACTGACTGCCTGTTTTCTTAAGCCAGTGGGTGTAACTCCTGCTTTAGTACCAGCAACCTGACTACTCTCATGCCTGAGGATTGAAATGCTCGTCAACATTTCCTCAGTGCTGCTAGATGGGGCTCTGTGCTGGATTTGTGTAGCAGGGGAGGGGGCTACAGTGGTGGCCCCCCTGTGAGAAGCTTCCTGAAGCTCTCCCGGCTCCAAGTCAGACCCACCTCTGGCCACAGCCAAGCCAGTTAGTGATGGTGGCTGTCTCTCTGCGATAATGTGTTTAAGAAAGGGAACATGGAAGGAGGAATGGGAGTTCTAAGGAGGAGTTGGGGGGAGGACACTTATGTGAACACCAAGGTCAGTGGGAGAAAGGAATAGGAAGGGGTGGAGGCGCACCAGAGCGGAGACCCCCCCCACTGTATTCCCTGGTGAGATGGAAGGGTTGCCCCCCTCTGCCTCCCATGGAGATCCAAAGTGGAGCAGAGATCCACCTGCAGCCTGTGGAGGATCCCATACTGGAGCAGGCAGCTGTGCCCAAAGAAGGCCGGGACTCTGAGAAGCAGCCCCTGCTATTGTAATTCAGAGCTGTGGGGATGACCTACACCAGAGCATCTTGGGAAGAGTTGCAGCCTGTGGAAAGGACTCATGCTCGAGAAAGTTTGTGGAGGACTGTCTCCTGTGAGAGGGGAATCACGCTGAAGCAGGAGAAGAATGCGAGGAGTTCCCCTGCCCTCTGAGGAGGAAGAAGCAGCAGGACTGACTGCACCCCTCCCCGTTCCCTGCCCTGCTGTAGGGGAGGAGGTTGAGATACCAGGAACAAAACTGAGCCTGTGAAGAAGGGAGGGGTGGGGGGAGCTGTTTTTAAGATGTGGTAAGGCTTCTCACTGTCCCACTCTGTTAAGTGGTGGTGTATGAATTAAAGCGATGTTCTTTTTTCTTCCCCTAACGAGTCTGTCTCTTACCCATGACAGTAATGGGGGAGACACAGACACCCCACCCCCCCTAAGCCTTTTACTTTGTTTTCCCATTTCAATTCTTGAGGGGTAAGGGGTGAGTAAATAGCTGTGTGGTGCTCAGTTGCCCCCTGGGCTCAAACCAGACAGACTGTAAGAAGGGTGCAGGCCTTATGTGGGATAATTGCAATTAAGCTTTGCTGTTTGATCATCCCAGAGCTTCCTTGGTAAGGCAAGTTACGGATCTCCACATGTGAAGCACACACACACTTCCAGGAGGCATGCAGCAGTAGTAGTATAGGATGCTACATGACTAGCTAGATGCTGAGAAAGTATTTCTTGCCAAGCCTGCCAGTGTTTGATATAAGGCAGCAGTACTTTATTCTGGGAACAAAACTGAGGTGCTCAAATTCTTTTTGTGCAGTAATTGTCGTGGGCATAATGATGATACACAAACCGCCAGGGCTAGCAAGGGAAGCACAGGCATGCCCTGCAACCTGAAGATGATAGTTAGGGTCTGAACAGACGATACAGATGAGGAGTGTTCATGTGTAACAAGTGGTTTGAATGAAGGGGGTCTCCTAGTTTGGATTTTGTTTTGAACATTTGAGAATATTTTACTTAAAGAAAAAGTGAATCGAAGGTGGGAAACCTGCTCAGGAGAGCAGACTTTGGCCTCTTCAGGGATCTGCTTGGTAGAGTACCATGGAGTAAAGCCCTGGAGGGAAGAAGTGTCCAAGAAAGGTGGTTAATATTCCAGGGTTGCCTCCTCCAAGCTCAGGAGTGATGCATCCTGACAAAGAGGACGTCAGGTAAGAACGCCAGGAGGCCTGCATGGATGGACAAGGAGCTTCTGGACAAGCTCAAACATAAAAAGGAAGCCTACAGAGGGTGTAAGCAAGGACAGGTAGCCTGGGAGGGATACAAAGAAATTGTTCAAGCAGGCAGGGATCAGGTTAGAAAAGCTAAAGCTCTGATAGAATTAAATCTGGTCAGGGAAGTTGAGGGCAGCAAAAAAAAGCTTCTATAGGTGCATTGGTGATGAAAGGAAGACTAGAGAAGATGTGGGCCCTCTCCAGAAGGAAATGGGAGACCTGGCTATCCAGGACATGGAGAAGACTGAGGTACCCAACAACCTTTTTGCCTCAGTTTTCACTGGCACATGGTCCAGCCACACCACCCAAGTTGCAAAAGGCAAAGGCAGGGACTAGGAGAAAGAACTGCCTGCTGTAAGAGGAGAATATCAGGTTCAAGACTATCTAAGGAACCTGAAGGTCCACAAGTCCATGGGACTTGATGAGATGCATCTGTAAATCCTGAGAGAACTGGCAGATGAAATAGCTAAGCCACTATCCACCACATTTGAGAAGTTGTGGCAGTCCAGTGAAGTTCCCACTGACTGGAAAAGGAGAAATGAAAACCCCATTTTTGAAAAGGGGAAAAAAGGAAGACCCAGGGAACTACAGGCCAGTCAGTCTCATCTCTGCCCAGCAAGATCAAAGAGCAGATACCACTAGAAACTATGCTAGGGCATATAGAAAATAAGAAGGTGATTGGTGACAACCAACAACTTAAGGGCAAATTGTGCCTGACAGATGTGGTGGCGTTCTACAATGGGGTTACAGCATTGGTGGGTAAGGGAAGAGCAACTGACATCATATACCTGGACTCGTGCAAAACATTTGACGCTGTCCTGCACAATATCCTTGTCTCTAAATTGGAGAGACATGGATTTGACAGATGGACTACTTGGCAGATAAGGAATTGCCTGGATGGTCGCACTCAAATTGTGGTCAACAGCTCGATGTCCAAGGCAAGAACAGTGACAAGTGGTGTTCCTCAGGGGTTAGTGTTGGGACCCGTGCTGTTTAATATCTTTGTTGGCAACATGGATAGTGGGATTGAGTGCACCCCCGAAGCTGTGTGGTGCAGCTGACACGCTGGAGGGATGTGCCATCCAGAGGGACCTTGACAGGCTGGAGAGGTGGCCTGTACAAACCTCATGGAGTTCAACAAAGCCAAGTGCAGGGTCCTGCCCATGGGTTGAGGCAATCCCATGCACAAATATAAGCTGGGAAATGAGTGGCTTGAGATTAGACCTGTGGAGAAAGACTTGGTGGGTATAGCTGTATGGAAAATTGAATATGACCCAGCAATGTGCAATCACAACCCAGAAAGCCAACCATATCCTGGGCTGCATCAAGAGAAGTGTGGCCAGCAGGTCAAGGGAGGTGATTCTCCCTTTCTACTCTGCTCTTGTGAGACCCCACCTAGAATACTGTGTCCTGCTCTGGGGCCCCCAGTGTAAGAAAGACCTGGGCCTGTTGGAGCGAATCCAGAGGAGGCCATGAAGACCATCAGGGGCTGAAGCACCTCCCTTATGAGGACAGGCTGAGAGTGCTGGGGTGGATCAGCATGGAGAGGAGAAGGCTCCAGGGAGATCTTTCAGCAGCCCAGCCCTAACCATTCTAAGAAACAGTTAAACAGCTGCTCATGCTATTCTGTAAATGCTTGTGGTAGGTGGTTTGATGTCTTGTCTCTTCTTGCTTGCATCTGCCTGTGTGTTCTGTGATTGACAGGGAAAACAGTGAGCAGAACAGTCTAGCCTGTCCTTTCGGTGGGGAGTTTATTTGCCTCTGTGCAGGCAGATATGATGGCGAGTGACAGGAGGGGTGTGCTGTGCTCTCTACTGGCACACCAGCCTTGTTTCCTTCTGCCTTGGGAAGGGGAAGGGTGATTGCTGCTTAACGTAGTCTGGCTGTGCTACATTGACTTTTAAGTAATGTTCTTCTAAGGAACCCATTCTAATGTTGAAGCAGAGGGTGCAGTGATGCTTTTTACTTGTTCTTGATTAATGCAGCTAATATATTTTACAAGTTCTTTTACTAATTTTTCTGAATCAGTATTTTTCTCCTCCACTACTTTACCTGCATGTCTGTGTTCAGAAATATGGATTACTCTCCTCAAAACTTGGCCATTTCAAATTCTGCTTTGAGGAATGGCATCAGTGGTGTTTTTTAATTGAGGTATGTGCCTCTGGACTGAATTAAGAACTTTCAGTGCAGATACAGCTATTGCTCTTTTACTAGTACAATTTTTCATTTTTCTTTGTGTTTTGTGGAAGCTTTAATATGATTTTCCAGATATCTTTATGCTTTAATGTTAAAAACATTGTCGTGTGTAGCACACGTGCGCTTTGCTTTCCTGTGCTTGAAGCTTTCTGGACTTAACCCAACCTTTCTCCTGAATTTTTTTTTGTTTTAGAGGTAACATGAACATGCTAATTTCATTTTTGTCGCTAGCTACGTTTTAAAGCAGGTCTTTGTACAGAGATTTCCCGTTTGTCTTGAATAAACTTAACTTACATAAGAGTCATTCTGGTTTTGATGCAGGTTGGGAGGACCTGACCCTCTGGACTACGTTAGCATGTACAGAAACCTGGGAAACCCAGCACTGAATGTTCCTGAGCACTGGCACTACGTCAGCTTTGGGTTAAGTGACTTGTATGGAGACAACAGAGTACATGAGTAAGTGTCATTTCAGTTCTGTTGCTGCATGTTGTGTTTTGTGTTGTGTTTTGAGGGAGTGTAGGTAAAACCCTGTCCTACTGTTATTATCTGAACAGCTGGTTTTCTGCTGAGATTACCCTAGCCTTTCTCTTATACGGAGCGTGACATATGCGTGTTCTTGGATGTAGAAGAATTACTGTGTTCCCCTCTGCAGCCTTTGAATGCAATATATTTCTTTGTCAGTGTTGAGTGACTTTTTTTTTTTTAATTTCTTTTTAACTGGTTAGGATTTTTTTTTTTTAACTGGATGTCTTGTTGTGTTTTTCACTCTTGGTAGTCTGTTATGGTCATACACTTAAATTCTGACCCCTCCCTGTGCATGTTAAATGCCTTCCTCTGGAAAACTGCTGTAAGGGCATTTTTCCTACTGCTGGCACAGCGGTGTTACTGTCAGTGGACTGCCACCCCAGTGGCTGCTGTACAAAGTGCCAATTTGTGCAACAGGAGCATAAAATTCTAATTGTTTGACTGTCTTTTCTCCAGTAATTAATTGATTATCTTAGCTTGTTGGCATGGATGGTCTTTAGCAGCCATTTTGTATTAGACCAGGCAAGCAGCATGATCTAACCTTATTGTCTGTCTTTTACTGACCTTGCTCCTTAACTCCAGTTAAAATGAGTAGCCGTAGCCAAGCTGTCATGAAGCTGTGAACACAGCCTTCTAATCAGCCAGAAATGGCAGAAGGTTTCTGCTGTTGCTGTTTAGTGGAACTGTCTTTGTGCTGTTTCATAGTTTCAGGCTAAATGTCCTTGATGAATGGTGCACCAAAGTCCTGGTTTGTTCACCCAAGTTTTCCTTCTTTAGTTTGTCTTGGTTAGGATTCAGCCACCATTTTTTTTAACCCAGGTGCTTCTCCTGCAACAGCAGCAGTCATGCAGTTTCTTTAACCTTACCTAGGTCCTCAAGGCAGTTTCTTCTGTTTTGTTTTGGTTTGGGTTTTGGGGTTTTTTTCCTGTTTGTGGTTACAGAACTGTTTTTCAGACGACAAGTCTCTTAAGACTGGAGTTAATATAGGACCCTAGTGTCACAGAGATCTGCCTGGCATATTTAGCCAACACGTCTACTAACAAACCCCAGTCATTAGTTGCTGGGGCAGAGGGAGGGTAGGGTGAGTGAAAGAAATGAAATTAAAGCTTTCCTTCCCTCACTTCCACAAAAGATCCTACCATGGACATGCAGGCCTTTATATGGTGCCTTTGTTCTCAGATTATGATATTTCATCTTTGCCACTGAAAATAGGAGGTTGCCAAGATTGGGTGACCTGTGTTTGCCTACCTTGTTGACTTGTCAGCCTGAGGTTTTCCCATAGTGAGAATATTCTCTTTACTCAGATTCTTTTGTGATGGTTTTGGGTGAGAGCAGGGAGTGGACACAAGGGTCTCAGCTGAAGACATGAAGGGTGATGTGTTTTTATGAATGAAGAAGCAATTTATGTAAGGATGCAGTCTCCTTGGCCCTGGCACATGCTCTGGCTTCTCTCTCCCAAAACCTGTCTGCTAGACCAAAAACTGTTGCTGCTGTAGTGGAAAGCTTGGGGATAGAGGAGTGAAAGCATCACACAGGTGGAATGTTACAACTTCGAATAACTTCCTGGCATGAGACCCCTTAACTCTTCATGCTGTCATATGGTTTCGTCTGGTGATTGGATTGAGATAGTGGAATATACCTTTTGCTGGTTGCAGGGCACAGGAATTGAACCCCCATCTCTAGATATAGGCTGCAGGTGATTTCCAAGGCCTGCTGAGTGAAGCAGGAGCAACGTATGCACTATGCTCTGGAAGGTCCGAAGTCCCTGAATGCCCTGTGTGTATGTGAGCCTGGGAGGAGGCACTGAGACCCGGCGTGCCTTGGCTGCCCTTGGCATTGTGCTGCTGGAGGCTGCTGCAGCCAGGCACTGCAAGCAAATAGCATCCTTGCTGCTGCACTGCTCTGATGGTGTTGGAGCCAACCTCTTGAGCACTGGCCTGTTCAGACTCATCAAAACGATCTCCATGCCTTGAGTACATGCATGTGTTTCCCTTCATTATATGTGGCTGGAACAGTGTTCCTGGTTCCACAGCAGGGTGTCCCTGTGTCACTTGCCCTGAGATGTTCAGATGTCTACAGTCTGTCACCTTTATTTTGGCCTCATTCTTGGAGCTACAAAACTTAATACTACACATGCTGTTAAGAAGGCTGGCTCTGCCTTTATGGTAAAAAGTCATAATGTACAATTATGCATGTGGTAAAGCTTTCAAAACCTACACATCTCTTAAACACTGAACCTGAAGTTATCACGTGATAGGTGAGCACTGTACAGGCAGAGAGAAGATTTTCAAAGGAGCTGAGAACTCACCAGCAATTCTTCTACCCAACAGCAGTTGCTGTTTGCTAACTACTCTTGAAACGTGACTGCCATGTGAACTGCACGTCACCAGACCAGCACTGGGCGCATGCTGCAGGAATGTAGTGGTTTTTCTATGCATTCAGGAGGCTCTTGTTCTCCAGCAGGGAATTTAATAAAGCCTTTGTTAAAGAAAATGGGTATCAAGTCTCTTTGTTGCTTCAAGGACTTTGGGATTCTGCTGTCCCAGGTAAAGCATGCTGTGGGATGGTTGGCAGGAGCACAAGGTGACCGGGGATTTGTTGAAATCTTAGGAAGATTTCCTTTAAAGCTTGGTGTGGCTCTGCTCAACTGCCCTGGCCTCTGGAGATAGGAGTTAGTTTGTGGGGTTTTTTGGTTTCCTCTCTGCAAAGAGTGCAGAGCTGTATCTGCCTGTGACAGTCAGAAAGGTTCTTACGATAGGGATGTGCTTACATAACCTTGCTGTCCTTCATCCTTTAGAAAGGAAGGATAGTATGCTGACAAAGGTCTTTTTAATCTCCCAGCTTGACTTTGAGTAATGTATAGCTTATTTCTTGTGGACCTCTTCTGGTAATACAGTACAATCTAGACCAATTATAATGCAGTATTAAATGAAAAGGACTTTTTGATTTTTTTGAGTAAACTAATGGTGAATTGGAGGCCTGTGTATTTTTATTTATAATGCAATAGCAAACAGATGTAGCAAGTAATGTGAAAATGTTGACTTTAATTTATATTTTTAATAAGAACCTGAAAAGTCTGAAGTGGAGCTCTCCCTGTGCCTCCTTGTTGACAGATTTATTTTCAGTTAAAGCAGCACTATTTCCTGCTCTGCTTAAGTATCAGCTATGGTTTGCTTACAGAACTGGTCTGGTTTTAAGAGTCCAGAGAATAAGATGGAAGAAATCGAAGAATTTCAAACGTGGAAACCTTTTTCATTTAAAACCACTCAGTGTTTCATAGTATAATGGCAACCATGACACCAGCTGTGCTGGGCTGATCACTCTAAAAATCCTAAATCATGACGTCATGACAACATTAGGGAACCGCAGGCCTTTCAGTGGGATTTCACGCCAAGCTGCTTGCATGGAAATAAGTCTCTCCAGTCGAGCATGTTGCACAACTTGAGTGGCAGCAGAAATCCTGCTGGGATATTTTTGCAAGTTATGCTCCATTTTTAACTTTATCTACTTTAAAATCAAAACCAGTGTGTAACTTCTTGAATCTATTCAGCAGGGTTAGAGTAGAGCCTTTTTTTTTTTTTTTTTTAATATTCTTGCTTTCTGAAGAGATTCATCAGTAACGAGTGTGTGTGTAGCATGTGAGCACACTGGCAGGGAGCATCTGACCTGTGCAGTTGTGGGAGAGGAGACAGGTCCTGCACCCTTCTCTGCTGCTGGTAGCTACTGGCCCACAGCAATGTCAGCAGCAAGGAACGTGTCCCCATGCATCTGCACAAAGCACGATGCCTCAGCTGCAAAATGCAGATTCATGCTCTGATACCAGAACATCAGCAGGACCAAGGCATAGGCCCCTGATCCTTTCTGCAGTTTGCAGACATGATGGTGACTTCTGCCTACGTGGAGAATGGTTGCCTGAGGAAGGCAGCGTCAGCAAACCTAGCTGGACTCAGACTCCGTCAGTGCAAACGCCAGCTTCAGCTGCTGTGGTGCCATGTCATGCTCCAGCCCTGGATTGTGCTGGCGCAGGGCTTTGCAGGGCTGTCCAGGGAGCTAGGAAGTGATGTGTGTTTTCACCAGACCAACTTTTGTGTCCAGTTTGCTGTAGGGCCAAGGCTGAATCTCCAGTTAACTGTTCCTGTAGTTCGAGTGCTCACCCTTTTCTGTTAACAATTTAAAAGGTGCATGGAAAATGAGAACCGTGATGTGACAAAATTCCTGAAAACTGTGAATAGTCTTATTTGTATTACATTTGCAAGGTCACAATTTGAGCCACAATAGAAAGCAAAGCTTAAATTACAGCTAGGTTAAGAAATAAGATGTGTATTTGTGTCCTTCCCACATCCTGAGAAGAAACATGCCAACTGTGTTTTGATGTTTAGCTTTTTATGCAAATTCCAATAATTGGGTTTCCTGCTCTACATAAACTTTATATTGACAAGGGTGATGGTTTTTGTTTTGTGGGGTTTTTTGGTGTTGTGGTATGTTGTTTTTTTTCTTGGAAGCTAGCCAGGAGCCAAAGCACAGCATTCCATTTGCATAAAACCGAAGAGATTACAGCTGCCTTCATCTCTAATACAGATGCAGGGTACCACCCGCGGAGACAACAGGTTCCAACTTGCTGTGGTCCTTTTGATTTGTGCTACTTTCCATTTGGATCAGGAGGGAGCGGTGCATGCTGGGATAACGTGTTGTCTCTGTGGGTGGTGCCTTCCTATTAAAGGTGAGGGTAAGCATGAGCTTTTCAAGATCTCCAGTCCAGCTTGTGTTCTGCTTGCTTGTATAGATCCTCTGAATGACCTTAACTTGTAAAAGGGCAGGGATGCTTGTTAGAGCTGGGAGGAAGAAAAAGGAGTGCAAAACTGGATCAGGTAACAAATGCAAGGCTTGCAGAGGGGTGGATGTTTTCTGGAAGGCTTTTTCCGAGTGTGAAA